CCAAACCTATGGCATGTTAGATGTAGATGTAGAAACATACAACTACATTTTTTCTTAACTGTGTTGCACTTCTTATAGGTTCCACTGGTTTTGTGAGAGTTTCTTGTACCAGGATCAGAATGGAGCAAAGACTTCTCAGGCTTTATGCCGCAAGTACAACCAGGGCCTGCTTTTACCCTAAGTGCACTTGATGTCAGGGTTGACTCTTGGTCTGATAAAATCAGGAGATAGTTGTATAGACTCATCCATTATTAATAATGATGTTTAACATCTGAGGAGATAAATCCGTTGTAGTGGAAATAACTTAGCTGTTGAAATTCTTGTGACTCTATCACTTTCAGCTCAATAAATCTTGTTAAGAAGACTCTGTGTGATGCATGCCTGGTTTGAATTCACACCCTCAGATGCTGATACTTACATTTTTCTATCCAAGTTCGATGGTCAACATATTGTTGCTCAAATCCTACCATCTAAGGGTACCGTGATGGCAAAGAGCTTTAGGGAACACATAAAAAGTGGACTAAATGCTCTAAAATAGGTAAAGCGCTATTTTAGAAAGAAAGAAATCCCCCAATTCCAACAAAACATGACAAATCCCTGTCAGCATTAGGGACATATAACCCCACTATTTGTGCTCCTTAATAGCCTAAGCATGTTGAATGCTCCCCATGTTAAAAGTTTAAAACCCTTCTCCAGTTTACTTAATGAGGTATCCTAGCTGGGTTTTAGTTTTTTTAAAAGAAGTTGCTTATCTGTTTTACTTGACCACTTAGTCACTAATTGAGTCTTGCTAAAGTTCAAGTGTAGTTCGCTGTAGTTTTCAGACCTCTGTTAAAATGTTGGCTTTAGTGTGTTAAATACGTCTTTGTGCAGGTGGCATTGTGTATTTAGGTTGTACTTTGCTAAAATAGTTTTGCTAAAGAACAAATACTAGGCAGAGAATTCTACATGTTAGTTGCATATCTCAGTAGCAAGAAAAAAATGCTTTTTGCTTGCCAGGTTGAAAGACGACGCATTCATTGTTGATGGAGATTTTCGCTCTCTTCAATAATGGGGTTGCTATTTCTCGTTCTCCCCCACCATCATCACTCCTTACAATATGATATACATGCTAGGGTTCACTTGCATGATGGCAAGGCACAGTTAATGAAGCTTCACTCTCTGTATAATGTTCGTATTTGCAAATTGTGATATCCGCTGATTAAAGTTTTACCTGCTGCTATTCTGTCTTCAGAGAGTGCCACATCATGGGAACAGGAGTGAATTAATGAGACTAACTAAGTGAAGAAAAGCAGATAAGCAGCTCTTTCAAAAAATTGTTTGCTTGGGTTGTTTGGTAACATGGTTTGGGTTCTAACCTACAGCCCACATAATCCAAGGCTTGATGTCAAATCTACACTGATTTCTTGTTTTAATGTGCCCACCCATATCTTGACTTAACAAGCAGAGCTGTGCATGAGTTTTTTGCTCATGCCCATGCTGTCTTTTCCAAAAGTAGTAACCATTGCTCATATCGCAAAGAGAGGCACCAAATAAGGGCAAACATGACGAAGAAGCTGATTTACATCTTTGCTTCTTAAGGCAAAAGCAATTAAAACTGGGCTGGGAAGTTGGAACCATTTGCCAGTTGTGTTCTGTTGTTCAGAATGCTGCAGCTGAGGCAATATGGAATCCATACGTTTTAGTTTAGGAGATTCGATAGCTCAATATCAGATGTGTCCTTGAACACAACTCCCATAATCTCTGGCTAGGGATAATGAGAGGTGTGGTCCAGAAACATCTGGGGAATACTACTCGCCTGCTTCTGACATAAACATGTGTGAGACATGTAACATTGGCAGAATGTAGCCTTTAAAACACAAAAACCACCTCTTGTACAAATCTGAAAACACCCCACTGCAGAAAAATTATGCTGCTGTAGTTGGAAAGGTTTCTGGCAGAGAAGAAGAGGAGGTCATGATTAATCATTTCATTCATCCCCTCCCCTACCAAATACTTGGACATATTTATTGTTCTCTCTATTAAGAGTTTGAAGTACCCCTATTTATATTAAAATCTAAATTTAAACAATCATTACCCAGCTGTTTTATATAGTGAAAGACAATGTGCTGAAGCTTGCTTTCATTTTTTAAGGGTAAATTTTCCTTTTAGCATTTGGATTCATTAGCATTTGGGTTTGGATAACTTTGGCAGGTATCCTGCGTGACCGTGCAAAGAAATGTTTGGTTTCAGTGAAAGAAGAGTTAAATTACTTATTTCTGAAGAAAAGCAGATGCTTTCATTAGTGTTTTGGAATAAGAGCAGTCCAAATACAGAACAAATGTTTTCCATCAAGTTCCTGCGTAAAATCTTAAAACGTTTTTGCATTTTGTATATATATATATAAGAGTTATGACACACTGTGGATAAATAACATAGTCTAACATTCCTCCAACATTTGTAAACCTGGCTAATAAAATATAACTTTGTATTTTTCTTTCTTGCAGATGGACTACTTGTATTTCAGTGTTTTCATTTGCTTTTTAAACTTCCATTCTTCCACAGAACGTTTACGTATTTGGGGATGTCTAAAAAGGTTCATGATCCGTTGGTAGTTTTCCACTCCCTTGGCCAATTTACATTTCTGAAGAGACCAGTCAGCTCAGCTTCTTCATGCTAACCTAGTGCTTTTCAGATGCAGCAGACAAATTCCCATCTTCCTTAGCAATCACGATCAAAGGCTGGTTAGGCTTTATGTGAACTAATATCTGGAGAACACCAGTTTGTAGAGGATTGATGTAATTGGCACGTTCTTTTCCAGGTTGTAACAAGGAAAGTACCTTCTTCACAGAGGTTGTAGAAGAGCTGTTTTAGTCTATAGTGGCAAAAAAAATTTAAAAAATCAGGAGTTCAATAGCTCCCTTTCCAACTAAGACAATTTATTAAAAGGCATATGTTTTCATGAGCTGCTCACCTCATCAGATGCAGAGTGGCTTGACTGAGGTAGCATTTAAATTGGGGAGGGGGAGGCTGGGGTGGAAGGGAGGGGAAGATAGGTAGATTGTGTTGATGTAGATTACATGTAAGACATCTTGCAGGCACTTTATCAATTAACAATTGCAATGTGCTAAAAAAAAGTAACCATTGTGTTATGTTTGTGTTCACAGAGGTGAGAGATTTGTGTCATAGACAAGGGGAGAGGAGGGAAGCAATGCTGGAGGGGATAATCATTTACACTCAGTTTACTTGTAATACCCTTTTAACAACTCCTTGTGCTTAACCTGTTAGGTCCAGTTAATCTAATCTCCTCCACAGACGGGTCATTCTTCAGCATATGCTGAAAATATTTGCTGATTGAATTGTCTTGGATGTTTGTTCCACTGATCCAGCCATATTTATTAAAAGATACTTGATATATTTCCAGCAAAGGAAGTTTATCAATCTAGCATTATGTAGTTTTCCTCTCAAACCCATTGTTCGTTTATTCAAAAGTTACATTGAATAATTACTTAGCAGTAAATTCTTAGCTTAAAATATCACAGCACCTCTTCCAAAAAGTTTGTTTCTGTTTTTCTCATTGAATCTAGTCTTAACTTGGATGGTTAGTGGTTAAGCTTGTCTCCTCTCAAAAATCAGACCTTGTTAATATGTGAATGGGAGACACCCAGAAATTCCCAGGCTGTAAACTAGATCGTGAAATTGAAAAAAACAGAACAACACAGAAGGCTGTAATGCCTGTTGCCAAGAAAACTCTATGTGCATGCCATGAAGTCACCAGGTGTCAAAGGAAGCCATCTTTTTAGTATGAGATGACAACTTTCTTTCACCTGCAGCTGATGGCAGAATTCTGCCACTACTTTCCTTTAGCAGGTAGATATGGAGCCTCTTGTTCTGACCTTCCTTAAAAAAAAGAAGAAAAACCTATTTCAGAAAGTGTCTGGTATGGTAGTAAGTTACATCCAAACTTTTAGACATCTCAGATCATTATTTGATGGTTTCAATGAGCAAATTTATTCTTGCATTCTTTTTTTTAAACTTCTTGTTAATATTTAGATTTTTTTAAGGTTTAAATCTTGCCTGAAGACTTTACAACTTCAGGGAACATAGAAAGAGAGAATTTTTTTCTTTTTAAACTATACAGAGTGTGTCAGCTTTATCTTTTCCAAGACTGGCTCTTCAAATATGTTGTCCTACAATCCCATCATCCCCATTGAGCAGAAATAGCCTTCTTTGAAGATCAGAAACCAAAATGTGCTGGATTTTTATCTGGTTTAATTTTTCTCAGCTTGCTTTCTGAATTAATGATTATTTTTTTAAATCCTGGGTTGTTTTAATTATAAACTGTCCTGAACACATGAAATACATCACGGTTGCACTTAAATTTGTAATGAAATCTCCAGGTTTCCATTTTTGTCCTTTCCCTACTTCCTATAAAATGCCATTTTTTGAGGTGAATATTAAAAGGGAGATCAGTTGTCTTGGTGTTGAGGCATCAAACTCCAAAGTGATATGCTGGACACTTTGTGGTGCCTTGTTTTACTGTGTCAAATCTTTTTGCAACTTGCTGGTGTTAAAAATCATGTTTCAGGAGAGGCAGATGATGCATTGAGGGATGGCCTTTCAGCTCCACCAGAGGAATACTAGAAATGATCTCATCAGCCAGGACCTCCCTATCTTCAGCCTGGGTAACAATACACATGGCATCCTATTTGCTGCACTCCAGCCTATCAGCATCCTTGTAGCTCCTCATTAATGATGTCATAAAAGGGCTTTAGAAAATTATGCACAGATATTTTTTTTTCTGGCAGCCCTTCAAATGAGAGCTTAACCTGGAAGGCCAGGAAAATCAAAGGCAGGAAGATCAAAAGAGACAGGAGGGCAGAAGGGCAAAGTAAAACTAAAAAAAGACCACCTCAATAAGGAAGCAGAGCAGCAAGACCATCCAAAGCAGTCACAATCCAGGCAGCCTGTTTTCGGTGGGGAAAAGTAGTTGAGGGTTGAGTGGGAAGCAGGACTAGAACATGTCTGACAGTCAATGTGATACAGAGAGCTTCGAAGAACTTGAGCCATCCTGTAGGAGGAGGAGGAAGCCAAAAACATCCCGTTCTTGTCGGGCAGGCTTGATATTCCCAGTCAGTCGCATCGACAGATTCCTGCGGAAAGGAGACTACGCGGAACGCATCGGGTCGGGAGCCTCTGTTTACATGGCCGCGGTGCTTCAGTACCTGACTTACGACATTGTGGATATTGCCGGAAACATTGCTGCAGGTGATCATAGGCGGCGAATTGCCCCTGGGCATTTACATCAAGCGGTCAGCAACGATTCTGAACTCCACTCTCTGTTTGGAGGAGTTCTCACTCGGGAGAACAACTGTCCAAGGAATCAGTCTGCTGCATCAGCCAGAAGGGGGAAGAAATCTAGCAAGACTGTACGAGCCCAAAATGCCATTGCTGCTTAAACAAAGGTGGTGCCATTTATCCAGACACGGGGTGGAATCTTTAATATCTAACAGGGTGCTGAAATAAAAGCTGCTCTGAAGATGGGCTGCTTGTGTGAATGTCTTTATTTCCACACGGGGCAGTCCAGCAGTCTTTGCTGTACGTTTTACCACAAGGTAAAGGCAGTCTTTGAAAGACCAACATCTGGCTGGTTTCTCCAGCTCTCGCCGTACTCATGGCAGTGAGAGAAATCCACTTTTCAAGAGTTAGATCATGACCAGATTCCTTTTGTCATATGTTGTTCTTTCCTACTTCTATGGCGAGGTGTGCGGAGTAGTCTTTATACTCTCTTTAAGAGCCAAGAGGGTATAAGGCAAGGTTGTTTCTCAGCAAGGAATTTTGAGTAGAACCATAATTCTCTGGTTGGAAGGGTCTTTGGAGTTCTTCTAATCCAGCCCCCTGACCAAGGCAGGAGTCCTCATACCATCTCAGACAAATGGTTGTCCAGTCTTTTCTTGAAAACCTCCAGTGATGGAGCACCCACAACTCCAAGCCATTGGAGACAAGCCGTTCCACTGGTCTCAAGTCCAACCTGCATCAACTTCATTCTGAATGCGGTTATGCTCAGAACATTCTTTCCTTTGTGCCACAGTTCTTCAGAACTCAGCACATCACCTAATACTTCTGCACTTGTCCTGGACCTGGGAAGGTGAAACCTTATTTTAACCGTTCATGTATCGGTCTTCCTGGATTAAGCTGGTAGGCTTCAAACACTTGGTGCTAAGACTTTAAGCCTAAGAGTGGCATTTAAAAGAATAGAATTAAGTGGGCCACCTGTTCCATTAATTTCTCCTCTTTCTCTTGAATTAATTTGACAATAAAAGGGGGGGGGGTATTGTCAGGGCGATGAGCCATTCAACTTTTGAATCCATCAAGAAATAAATGTTGTGGGAAGGCTGATAATAATAAAGGTTTCTCGGATGTCATTCCAAGGCAGCTAGGTAGATCTTGTGCTTTTCCTTAGCTGCTAAATTTCTGCCTACTTCTGTGCTTACACAGTTCTGAAACTGCTTGCTATACCTTGTATAGTTGCCAAATGAGGTCTTGGACCTATTCTATTGGGTGCTCTAGAGAGTTACCTACAAGAGAAAAAATTGATTTACTCCAGTCTATGACTATGGCTAGAAGGAAAACGAAAAGGACATGTTGTTTAAGCATTTAAGTTAGAGATCTAAATGAACATGGGTGAAAAACACACAGCAGAGAGGTCCAACTAAATTTTGTCCTGTGTTAAGTTGGAGGTCTTAGCAGGTGACAAAATAAGGCAGGAGAAGCCAGTCTAGCTTGTAAAAACCCAGTTACAAATAAAGATGGTGGAAAAGCTACATCTTTTTTGCACACGTGATGGGGGAGGGGGAAAGAGATATAAAAAACAGAGCATAGACAAAACAGTGCAAGAAAAAAAAAAATTGAGACCCAAGAAAATGGCAGTGCGGTTTTGGTTAAAACATCTGTTCCTTTCAAGTTGTGATACTCTTTTGCCAAACAACTTTAAAATGGATGGCTTATCCCTTAATACTCTTGAGGTTTATCTGCTGTTTAACTGGTACAAGCTGGTCTTACTTGATCAGTGTATGTTGACTGAGATGGTGTACCAGCTCCATATAAGTTGTCACACCACTATAATGGCAATTCAGCCATACACACAGAAAGATGCAGTATGGGTGAATCAGTGCTCTGGATAAGGATTACCGGTTTGGGTTAACTGTCATATTGGAGTCTAGTGCTGAAACTGCTTTATGTCACCAACATTCTTGTTTTCCTACGGTTTAAAATGATATATATATTTAATATATGATCTGGGTAATAGAGATGTATGTTTTTTTCCTGCCCACTCAGAAGGAAAATAGGCCACTAAAGCAGGAGACATGTTCATTTAGACAGTACTTTTCATGCAGGCCGGGACATAGGAGACCAGATTGTGAAGCAATATATACAATAATACTGTAAGTCAATTGTGAAATTTCAGCGCTATTCATTTTTCAATTTTCTTCGCCGTTGCAATTTAGTGTGTGTGCCGCAGTAAGGATTAGACGATGATATGATGTATTGTTAACTTCTGATACTTTCTTGTGACTTTATTGTTTGGAATGTAAGCCTCCTAGAATCTATGGAGTAGATGGCATGCAGTGTATGGATAGATAAATAAATTACATAATAGATAATTATTGGGTTTTCCTTTGGAGTAGGGAATGTGTTTCCACAATCATTGGAGTAAAAAAAACGTCCTCTTTTTAAGAGCCCTTTGCAAAAGGAATCTAATAAGAGAGTATTCAAACTAGCAGGAAATAATGAAACCTGCCGTTTTCAACACCAGCAGAAACGTTTGACAGAGTCACCGCATTGTTGGACATTTTTTTTTCTTTTTTAAAGTCAAGCATCATCCTGTTACATAGACAGACACATATTAGGGTATGAGTCATTTCCATCCATAAATTGAATCCCTGATGCTAAAAAGTATTTCTAAAAAGTAGTTTATGGCTGGTATCCAGAGAGCTATTTTAGATGTAACTGAAGGGTCTGCTAGGTTCAGTAGATGATTGAAGCCACAGATGATTCTATCAACTGCTGGAGAGCGCTCCATTTCAAAAGCATTTCTATGTATGTTGCCTTAAGTAAGTTTGTGGGAATGTGACTGGTTGAGGGTCTATATGTTTGGAAGGTAAAGATTGGTATACAGGTAGGTCTCAATTAGCGCAGTTAATGAATCCCACAAAATGGCCGCATTATTCAAATTCGCCTTATTCAAAGTGATATTTCTATGGAAAATAGGGTAATTGGTTCCAGCTTGATGGAAATAGGCAACTAAAATTTTTAAACATTTTTTATATGCTTATTTGTGAAATACTTTATAACAGTAAAAGAGGATAAACCCACTTCCAGAGTATATCTGCTACCTCCTGTATTCTGCTGTAGTTCTTCAGAATGAGCTTCTTTTTTGAGCTTTCTTCGAAAGGGATTGTCCTTTTTCCTATTTTCCCCAAATGATGATTAGCATCTAAAACCCCAGCAGCAACTGCGCACACTCTAGCCTTGCACTAACTGAACTTTGCCTTGCATTAAACGCAACTCAGTATCAATTCATAAATCACCCTAAATTGAATTTCACACTATTCGAACTTGCACTAATTGCGACCTGCCTGTTATCTATTTCCTTTACTGTCTCAGGCCATCAGCTGTCTGCCTTCCAAATAAAAGGAATCTATTTAGCTATAGATCTGGGCAGTATATTGGATCTGATTGGGAAGAAATGGTTGGAATGCATGGGATCAAGAATGTAGCAGCTATCCTCAATGTTCATTAAAGCAGTAGCATCTTTTTCTGCAATTACATGGCTGCAGCAGAAGCTTTCCACAACAGCTGTACGTCTCTGAAAAAAGATGCACCCACTTTAATAAGCTGCAGACAACTCTGGCAAATGTGCTCCAATGTTCCATATCTAATCCAAAACACTGGGTGGTGCTACTTAGTTATGTCTTCCAACGCCAGTGGTGGTGGTAACTACTTCTAGAACCTGCTATGAATCTTAAGTACCTGTACTTGACATTAAGGTCCACGTTTTGAGTGTTTCTATTCTGGAAACACTCAGAATAAAATTCCTTTGGTGTTGAACTTTTGACATTTCCATTTGTGCATTGCTGGCTGATCAAAGTCACTTGGGGGCTTGTGTAGGTAATGCTGTTTTTTTCCTGCCCATCACTTTTCTGTATTATTACACTTTGAGTTTTACGATGGCACAAGAAACTGGCGGCTGTGTTAGCTTTTGCCCTTGAACTCTTGTTGGCAGCATTGAAATTACTCCTAGTGCTTGTAAGGTCAGTTGAATTAATTTACAGGACACCTTTCTAAATATGGTGCTAATATGTTACATCAAGACCTACCACACGTAGAAAGGGACTATTGCTACTTTTATTGATCTGCACTATAGTTAAGCTTTATCCAAGTGCTGCTGATGTTTCTATTAGTAACCACCACACCAGTAATAAAACCATATGCCAAAAGAACTAATTTTTAGTAATTTTCTTTGAAATAACAACCTTTGGCTACAAATTGTAGCTAAATAGGGGGGAAAAGATATCTAAAAATACAGGAAGAACGGCTTTTAATGAGCAACGTGTTACAATATATCCTACTTTTTAAGCCGTCTTTGTTTCTCTGCTTTTAATAATAGGAATATCAGCTCAACCAGTTTCTTAAAATAGGCTAGTAATGGATCCAATATGCTTTGAAAGAAAGGGTAGAATATATTGCCCTTTTTAAAATAATCTGTTTTCTTGAAAAATTGTCTGCAGTTTCCACTGGGATTGCATTTTAAAAGCATAAATTATATGTGGGAGAAAACTTGGTGCTTTAAACCCCTGAAATATTATCTTGGACATAACTTAAATTATAGCTCTTTTTCCCCCATCTCTTTCAGGTAATAATTGCCACCAGCATGTTGGCACTACCAGACATAGCTGTAAACGTGACCTGACATCTTGAAGATTGTATGCATGGCCATTGCGTGATCTGGAAACTATGGAGCTGAAAGTGTGGGTTGATGGAGTCCAAAGGATTGTTTGTGGAGTCACAGAAGTTACAACATGTCAGGAGGTAGTTATAGCGCTTGCTCAGGCTATAGGTGAGTATGTGGTCCAAATACGTAGATAAGTGGGAGTGGGTGGGAAGAGGTTGTCATTCATTCTGTTGGAAGATAACTATTTGACCTTGGTTCATTTTGATGGTCCATGTAGCTACTGGGGAAGGAGAGCCAGTTTGGTCTAGTGCAGTGTTGTCCAAACTTGGCCACTTTAAGATGAGTGGA